TAACAATTTTAACGAAACATTTTATATTTAAATTTTATTGTATACTTTCATAAAATTAAATTCGACAAATGCTACGTTAAAATGTTTCAATAGATAAGCAACAAGTCGCAGTATCTCGTAGTAATAACAACAAGAAAACAAGGTAAATATATTAAATAATTAATTTCGAGGTGGTTATTTATTTTCAATCGTTAATTAATTCGGAGTCAAGAAATCCAAATTAATTATATTGACACTATTTTCAAGAAACAGTTTGATTCGGTTTAATTAAAAAGGATCCAAAAAATCCACGGAACTATAGTTAAAAAAATATCAATGCAGCGAGTTTAGAATAAAACTCGTCTTGCGTGGCAACACGCTCTAGAATTCCGTCAATTCCGTCGCGCAGAATTTGCGGCCGTAAAATAGTTAATCACCGCGTCTTCAATCCGACTGCACGAATGACGAACCATTTGTCATTGTCGTCGGTCATCGACGACCTTACTTTCTTCAGAAAGGCTGTTTAGTTATCCACCGGATAACCGCGGCCTTTCGCGTGTACACGTCGCACGCCGCATATCAATCTCAGCCGCGTACCAAATTAAGCAACCGCGTATAAGCGATTGGCGAAAGACCGAGTACACGTTTAAAATGCCTAAGCAGCAGGAACCTTGGACACCAATCAGTCACTGAGTGACCCTAATAAGCATCGCGGACCATCCGTCCGACGAAACCGCGGCAAAGGATGCTGCAGTGTCTTCCCTTCGTGATGGTCTGCGACAGTCGTTTATATGACGCGAAATGATATGAAAAAAATGCTTGAAATTCTTTGGCTAAATAAATTCGAGCGTACTTTCTTCCAACCAACCGGGCTCAAATAGTGTTTCTTGAATAATCATTGAAAAAAAATATCTTTTCCTTACACACGACGATAATATTTTTCTCCGCTATCTTTCACACTTCGATATCTTAATGATCTGATTAAAATACTATCACAGCCCTGTCGAGGTAAGATGAACAAGAGTCTGGCATCAATTTAGATTAATTAAAGAGCTCCGTTTCCATTCGGACAGCGTTAGAAGAGGTCGATTGTAAACGGCACGTTTCACGATCTAAACGTGGACTACACGGATCTCCATTTCTATATAGACAGAGCATTATCGTGAGTGCTTTACGATAGTGTGAGCCAAATTCACACATATTCACAATTTTAAATAAACTTTACGTCCACCGTGTACATAATCGCTTAGTTGCAAAATGCATGCGCACGCAAGCATCTCCTAACGACTTCTTCGAAGTGCCAACCTTGAGATAAAACAGTGCTGTTCTCGAACAAGTTATAGTTCACGGTAAATAAAATGTCATTATTTAATCAAGAGAATTTTACAAAGTAGTAATGACAGGGGAGGTCTTAAAAAGTGATGAAGTATAGCAATACTAGCATTTGTCCATTTACTATACGCACTCGTATATTCTTATTATATTCTATTATAGCCTTGTTTTTGCTTTGTACATACATCGCATACTATCAAATTTATTATATTTATCATAAAGGCTCGTAATTTAACTTGAGACCACCTTGCTCTTGACATCTGATGAATTAATTACTTTTTAACGTCCAACACACGTGCGCAAATTTAGATAAATTGCTTCTTTCTTTTCGTCTATATAATATCAGTTAAAATAGTCAAATCATTCTAGTATCACTTGTAAAATCATTTTTGCGAGAAACAGAAATGAAAGATATGAAAAACAAAAAAAAACTGGATAAAGGGGAGATAAATTTTGTCTCTGAATCTTTCCTCGACAAGCTCAAGCAAGTGTCGAGAGAAAGCGAGTAAACTGCGCCCAAGAAGAAGGATGAAGCTAAAGCTAAACTAGGTAGGGTACGAACCGCCGACAGGGGCATCGAACTTTTACTCTCCACCGACAGAATTATGTATATATATACAGCGAGACGGTCTGTGGCTCGTTCGATTACTTCACCTCACAGTCGCGCAGAAAACTACGTAATGCGGGGTGTCCCAGACCTGTCAGAGGGAGAGCTTTAATCCACGGATTCTTTGATCAATTTGGAGTCGTTTGCACGACAAAAATGTCGGTGATCCGACAGCTTTGGATTTACGAAAAACTGGAAAATCGGCAACCTTTGCGAAACCTAAGCTTTATGAAATAAATAAAATCTATTCTCCTTCTTCAATTTTATATGGATTCTAACGAATTTATTTAATTTGAAAAATTGCGAGGGTAATATTGGGTGAGGTTTAATATTGACACGTAGGTCAAATGATTCTCTCGCGATGCTCTTTCAAGGAAAAAAATTCATTGCAAATTAATGTCGGATTCCAAATTACCCTCCGCGAGCACCACGTATACATCTTCACGCAAATCGTAATTTCGGTTATCGTTAGACATTAACTGATAAGTACGGCAGTGTGTGCCAAGGTGATTGACTAATCAATATTGATCACAATTTCTACGACCCTTCTGTCACCCTTCGACATGTGGAAAATCGATAGTAGGCGCTTTATTTATAGTCGACTCGTGCATAAAGCGACTACTGCTTGGCACTGCAAGTCGAGCGAAGATGAAAGAGGTTTTCCAACGACCGCCGTTACAGGGGCAACACGCAATCTCTTGCGAATAGACTCGACACGCAGATACGCACTTCCAAGTAGCAACGCCATCGTATATTTGTACTATATTCGCGATATTTCGCCAACCGATAGAACGAGCTCGTTGTTCGCCGATCCCTACGTACACACGTCGCTTTCGTACACCCCCCCGATGCTATTTATACTAGATATATGCAGCTTTTTACGTATGCTCGGTATACATACGGAATCAGCCCGCTTCTCGGCTTCTCCGTGGCGGAAAATATGTTCTCCACGAATAACACTGTGTGTGAACACCTATTCCTCTGACCAGGGAGATAAGATACAACTATATATCCCACCGTTTAGGAAAATGATATCGCAAACGGCTTTTGCAATCGACACCTGTAAACTGTATATTATTACTATTGTTATCGCAAGTTAAAATCATTAATTGACGATAAAAATTCGCGTTTCCTGCTCCTAAAATTTCAATAAATTACAAGAAAGAAACGCACAGCCGCTCTCACTGCAGTATTTCGATAAAAGCGTTATTGTTGCACGTGCGATTTTATATCCCATTGATTCACCGTTTATCAGATAGCAACGCGAGTGAAACGCGGGAGGCCTGCCCGAATTTAACGTTCAGACGCAGAAACAGACGGCACGCATGTCAACGTCGTTTATGATCTGACGAGAATTTAATATTGACCGCTGGAAAACTGCCAGTCTGAGTTTTCCCGCAGTCACCGTGGTCCTAAACTCAAGTTTCGTTCTCGAGGCTCGACTAGACAAGCCTCTCGCTGAGTAATCAAAGGCGTCTCGCCAATTATTTGACTTGGCTCACGCGAGATCAGACGAGGTCCGTAGACAAGCGCACAAAGATTAACGCCACCGCAGCTGAAATGCGAAAATAAGATCGGCGTCGCGGGAGCCGTTGTACAAGAGAGTTAAGACCCGTGTTTGCGCGGGATTCAGCGGCAAGTCCTCGCACGGTGGCGTGCAACAGGCTCGAGTTTACAGCTAGACAAACTTTATGGCCCATAAAAGAAACTGAAATCGTCGCGATTTCAAACTGAATTCTCGTTGAAACTCGATATCGTTTTTTTTTTTTTTTTTTCAAGACAAAGAATCGTTGCATTTAATATGGAGGGAGGGACCAAAATTGTCTCGAAGCAAGCACGTAACCGCGCAGGTTTTTGAAACCGGAATCCCGTCGCGCGACCGCCGGCGCGAGGTTTTTCCCCACGGCGCAAGGCACAAGAGATACATAAACCCGATTCGTCTCGTACGTCTATTCTTACGTTCATAAGGTTATTTACACACGGTCTGACACCATTTCGGTGGCTCGAGCCGCGGCCAAGCCCGACTATTTGTCCGCGTCCGAAGTGCGTCTAGCGTGGCCCTCGAGTTCCGAGTCGAAAAGCGCGCGAGTAGCACACGAGTGGAAATCCGAGCGTTTAATAGAGTAGCCGATTGTTTGAAGTATGAGAGTGTACGCGAGGCCTGAAAGAGGCTCTCCCCATTGTGAGCCGCGATTCCTGTGCAACATCTCGAATTTCCATCACGCGTTTGTTTTATTTCGGTCGCTCGTTACTTAGAACTCACTTAAGATATGTTAATTTTTCGGAAAATCGTACAAATATTATTGCAATAAAATTGCTATAAAATCAATTTTATCAATAAGATTTTCTGCACGGTCAAATGTACGTGCGTTTTACCTAAATATTTATGAAGAAATTTGCGACATAAGCGATATGTAGCTTAAAAAAAAATCTTCTGTAATGGATCTACAAAAAGACAAAACATCGTATTTTGATCGTAGATGCAATAACATTCAAAGAATGTCACATCTGTCACAGCTGTCAACATTGAAAGAAGGCGAGCAATAAAAATAGATCCGAGTTGCTCCAAAGTTTCAGTTTCGTCTTATGTATATTAATATTTTCTTTTTCAATTTCGTGATTTTAATTTTAATATATTTTATATATAAAACTACAGCGATACAATTTAACAGTATCAACTGCAAAAGCTATTTGCGACGATCTTTTCATTTAAATATTGTGTGTTACGTTCCGATCTTTGGAGCAACCTTGTTCTTGTAAGGACGTACACACGCGTACAAATATATAAAACGGTACAAATGCACTAAGGTATTATTGAATAATACAACAAGAAAACGTGTTAGATCAACATATTATAAACTTTAATATAAGCTCATCAGCAGTAAGACGCAATAATCGTTGTCAAATCATTCTGATAAACATATTCCTTCTAACCGACGTGTTAGCTTAGATACTAATTTACACTCAACTTACACTCGCTAAATAATACTCGTTAAATAAATATTTTCAAGAGGTGTTTTCGCCACAGATACACGACCCCCTATATATACCCGCAAGTCGCGTCAGCCGGTCGCAAGCTTACCCGATTCTGAAGAGCGCGGAAAAGTGCTCGCTGGCATTTGCTCGATACCGCGCGACAGCGCGACGATAAGGCACACGATAAGCACTCGGTGGATTACGTGAACCGCGCGACGCGACAGGCCGAAAGGAACTGGACGGTGGCCGCGACCCCACCACGAGCCGGCACTCGGCCGACGAATGTAAACATTCGTGACAGCTGATCGCCGAAGTACACGAGCTCCGATTCTAGCCCACGATAACGGCGGTATAGCGACCTGCTGTTATACGAGTATTATAGACACGTCGAGCGTTACAGACGAGTGCGGGCGGTTATAAAGCGGCGTACTGTCCGGGCATATACTATTTCGACCCGACGCTCTCGCTCGTGCCAAGTAAATACTTGCAATAAACACTTTCATTGCGTTACCTAGAAACACTCGAGAGATTTAACGAGATGTATTCGAGTTTTATATCTCTTACACCACGTGCTAATTGTGCACAAGTCCATCAAATCACAAATCGTATGCAACGTAAATATTTCGTAGTCGTCTAAACAACACAAAACTCTAAAATAACTTAAAAAAAAAAACTATTCAAAAGATTTTCGCGATTTAGATTTTTGTGTTGTCTAGACAAATATCGTATTTCACTGTGAAATAAATCAGCAGCAAATGTATTTGTGATTGAAAATCTATGACGAATGAGCAGAAAAATAAGTGTTTTTTTTTTAATCAAATCTGTATATTTAAAAAATTCTAGTTTAAAATTTTTAATCATATATTAATAACAGTTATTAAAATATCATGTTGCTTGACTAGCTCTGTGTAGGGGTCGATTTGTAAACGGGAAGTCGCGAGTTTCATTTCGATCCTTACCCGCATGTAAAAGATTGATTAAAAAGTTCCAAGTTTTGAGTGAAGGGATATGAGCTTGTGTAATATGAAACTATAATCTGTTTCGGGATCGATAAACTAATACATCCATACGTATATGTATTCATGTCATGTAACTTGATCATGGCTTTGGTTTTACACACAAAATAGGAACTCAATACTATAAATTACACTTTGTGCTCTTTTTAACTAATATCGTTGGAATGCATATATAACAGTATAGTTACTGCAAGGTTTATTTCATTGCGTCTCGCAGTAACATGACTAACACATTACACCTGTATTTAAGAATTAGTGCCTGATAACGCACCTAATATCGCTAAGCAGCAGCATCAATCAATTTGATAACACTTTGTTTGAATTGTAAAATGGAATTGCAAAAGAAATTCGTAAATTTCTAACTGATATAAATACAATGTTCCATTCATATAATCCTGTACGTAATTTATGCTAATATTAATTTTGGCTAATCTGTTTTACATACTAAATGTAAACTCTACTTTCAAACGAGACTCGTGCATGCAATAAGTAAAAATACCCAGTTCAACCCATTATTACGTATTATTATAAGATCCCATAATGAGCAATAGAAAATTATGTAAAACTGAACTTAAAATTGTCTTCAGTTATATGTGGATATCTAGTTTACCGCTATTCAAATAAAAAAATGTATTAAATACCTCACCAGACGCGGCTAATATTTAGCACGTCTGACCTAAATGTCTCTGCATCATTTATCTGCATTATTATCTATTGGCGGACTAACTGCGTTACGACTCTTCGTCACTTAGAAGATGCTCTATACCCATAGTCCAAATTACCGGCGTATCTGTATTCACAGTCACTTCAGAATCTTCGTATGTATTTGAAGTACTCACTAAACCGCCGAATTGCATGGTTGTGTTAGCTGAAACAGAAAAAAAAACCAAGCAGAATCAGAAAAATTGCGCACACTACATATTTAAGTATATTGCGGTAAAATGATCTACTTCAAGACAGAATAAATGATATAAAACATACTTAAATTCCATTTCAAGCCAGTCGTTGAGATACAATTAACCGGGCAACCAATCGGCAGTAGGCCACACCAAGATTTCTGCCGTACCAAGATTTCTGGTATGTGTATACTATGCAAACCAGGTTTCAGCATCCATGTCATAGAGTTGCTCGCCACTTGTATCACCTGTAAAAAAAGATGATCTCAATCGGGATATGCAACTCAGTCGCGAGTCGTGTCTGTCGAAGAGCAAACCCTACCTGTATATTTCCCACGAGCTTCTCACTTTTGTACAGGGTGTTGACGTTGCCGATGATATGATCGAACCTGCCCGACGTTTCTGCAAGTACGTATATTTCACCTAACTGCCAAAAATAAAAAAAAACAAATATCGCTTGTTTCATCATGTACGGCCATCATCAATTTTGAGAGAGCGACAAGAATATAAAGGATTACATTTATGTTGCGCGTCCTGGCGTAGTGTGCGACCTGCAGCAGCGCCTTGGTGTAATCCGTGTGATTCTGGTCGGGCGTCTCGACGACGATGGATCCTATACCGCGCAGCTTCTCGATCACGAGCGGCGAACAGCTGTCCATATCCCCCGTGATGAGATCCGGCACGTACAGCTCGTTCCTGCCGTTCAGCACGTCTATCCTCTGCTCCTCCAGATACCTCAGCCATCTCTGCGTTCCGCCGTCCACGGTGACGGTGATTCGAGCTGCTCGCGCAAAGGGGGAGACACGTGAATCAACAACCGTAATCATCGCACCTGTGCAGTTTCTCGTCTCAATCGGAGAAAGAAAAAGCAAAAGGAGTTGCAGAACCGTGCGAGACGCGCATCGAGTACTTGTGCAATTGGCGTGTACAAACCTTTCTGCCAGAACCGGAGCAGCACCTCGCGCCTCCAGCGTATGGGACGATTCAGCACGATCACCGCGTACTCGCAGCGCGCGTCACCCTGAAACCCGTCGAGCGGACTCCACGTTGTCGTCCCGCAGGAACACGGCGCCGGCTCCTGCTGCATCGTGCGATCCGACGCGACGTGTCCCATCACTGTGGAAAAGCGTCGAGCAAAGGGAAGGGGGGGAGGTGGTCAAGGTTAAGACCGCAGGAAATCGCGGCGGTGTTTACGTAACGCGGAACGTGTGTTCTTCCGCGCCGTGGAGGCCAACACAAGTGTGTTGGCGCGAGAAAAATCGTCCGAAACGCGACGCGGGGAGGGAAGAGGAGATCAGGATTCGTCTCCCTACTTCGTCCTCGCGAATTCCTCGCGCGCGCGATCGTCACCCAGGCTCGCTGTTCACCCGCGAGACTCGTCGAGAGGCGCACGATGTCGCACTTGGACGTGCACTCGCGCGAGGTGCCTCCTCCTCGTGTGTCGCGAGAAATACGTGACCGACCACCTCGTGCCGCATTACTACGTCGTACGTTCCAACGGAGCGTGATAACGGGAGTTATATCGCTCGCGCGCTTATCTCATTCACTCACCGCCGGAGGTGGCATTTCGCAATTGCGCGCGGACGGTCCGCGGGGATGTCGTGGAGATCCCGATCCGGGCAGTCTCGAATCAGTTATCGCGATCGTCTCGAAAATTGCGCCCGATATCTCCGCGAATGTCGTGGTACGCGACCACACCGCGAAATTCCGCGAAGTGCGCTCCGAGCTGAAGTTTCGCACGTTTGTACACACACACACACTTTCGAGCAGCGCGCCGCGCCGTGTCGGATTACGTAATGAGAATTGGACATCGAAAATCGACCAATCAGAACGGGGCAGGGCTGAGCTTCAGGGCAGCCAACTTCGATAAGTGAAACGTCAGATCAGGTGTGCCCGTTCACAATTTTTTCGAGGCGTTTTGAGTGTTTCGACAGTACGTTTCCGGTTGAAAGAACATAACCAAACATTATAACGCCGACTTTTGCACTTTCTGCACTTTTTGCACTTCGAACAAAAGCCGAATATCATATCAATTTACTTCTAAAAAAGAGGAAAATAAAGACAAATAAGGCCGCAATTGAAGAGAATGAAATAACATGTTTCTATCGCGATTGCGACTTCCACACTTTGCTTCTTCTTCCCTTTTCCGTCTTTTAAAGTAATTTATATATCATCACATCTGTCACTTTAAATACAAAAAGTGCAGGCAAGCGCAATCAAAACAAACAGACCTCGTAGCTCCGCGGTTGACATATATAGGTTTGTACGCAATTTTGCACGATTATTCGCACGATCGACTTACAGCAACACTTTCGCAATCCACGATTCGTTCTAATTATCAGACCGACAAGCGCGATATTCCAGTTTTGTGAAGACATCGGCCACTTTCCTGGATTTCTCTCTTGCAGATATATATATATAGCGGCCGATGGGCTCGAGAATTTGGGTATGGAGAAATACACCGGGCGTGCCGGGTCGATGCAACGACGTCGTTTATACACGGCCGAAGTCGCAGCCGACGAGCGATCTTCTTGTATTTTTTGGCGGCGACGTCCAAGTACGTGTTCGGAATCGATTAACGACGAATAATTAATTGTAATCTTTCACCTTTCCGTTATCTCGCCACCTAAACACTATACGTTTTCACAGCACTTGAGTTTGCTTTTCTAAATAACAAATTATGTTTTTAAAATTATAAGACTATCCGTTATTTCGATTATTATAAAATGTTGCATTAAAAATAATTGTATGGAGTATACAAGACATTATATAGATTTTAGAACAGAGTATTAACTGCAGATCTTACTTGTTTGGCAATTTTTATCGGCATTACGTTCGTATTGATTTTATATTTATATCAACAAAATTATTAGATAAAAATTTTCACACAGGACATTCAAGAAAACATGGAGAGACATTCGGATAGCAAGAAATATGCAAATTGGAGCTTAGAGAACACGGCGAGTATACTGTCCGAACAGTTTCCTAGAAGTCATATATTTGTCGTTCGTCCAGCCAGGTAAAATATTAATATCATATTGTTACGCACAGAAATATTTCAATATTTCTATTCTAAGCGACATATAACTTCTTGTATTCCATATTAATTAGATATAATGATAATTAAAAGGATTTATGTGTAACTCTCTCGACCGCCACATTTATATCAAGATATATAACTTAGGCAACGATTTCGTATGTTTGTTTCAGAATGACAATAACTAGAAGCGCAGTATTCAGTTGTTTCGATAATTTCGTACCAGGAGATAAATATGGCACGCCAACATTTTACCCAATGCACAAAGCTTTAAAACATTTAAGGGACCTCCTCCTTTGCTGCCTGGAGCACGTTAAGACGTTAAAAATTGGAGAAGTACGTATCGAAGAGACGAACCATAATTTATAAAAAAAATTGATATGAATTAGTATATTAATAACTTCCCCCAAGTTTAATATGCTGTACTTGTAACTTGTACCTCGACAATATTCTTAAAAGATACAATACGTTGCATGCATCGAGTGCAATATTGAAGAATTGAATATTTAATATTTTAATATCTTTTTTTTTTAGGACATTGATAGCCATAACGTCGAAACTACAAACTTAAGTCTGATGGGCTTTAGTAAAGGATGTGCGGTTTTGAATCAGTTTCTCTACGAGTTTCATTATTACGACAATAATTCGAGTGACGATCCTAATATAAATCATTTTATCAAGCTCATCAAAGATATGTGGTGGCTAGATGGCGGGCACAATGGTCCCAAAAATACGTGGATTACGGATTCAGAAATACTTCGTTCCTTCGCTAAATTGAGTGAGTTGACTCTTAGAAATATTATCACGTATTGATTTTTCAATATTATTTCGATGTGTAACGTGTGATTAAATATCTTCCTCAGGAATAAATACTCACATACACGTTACGCCGTATCAAATGCAGGACAAACACCGGCCGTGGATTCAGAGGGAAGAAAACTGCTTCAATGATACCTTACAAAGGATGGGAGTATCTGTACAACGGACTTTACATTTTGGTGACAAAGCGCGAAGTCTCTCGTCGCATTTCAATGTTCTTACGGATATTAGAAGTAACGTGCAGTAAAACTTCGTATCTTCTCTAAATTCACTGTACAATTAAGCTGTCTGTGAATAAAAATGGTTCGCAATTTCTTCACTTTAGAATAAAAATATAAAGTTATATGAAAATTACAATTTTGTTGATATTTCTGTATTGCGAACTATTTCATAATTTATACAAAAGGTTTAACAGAATCTATTTTACAAAACATTTTCGTGACGTACGTATTGATTGTATATTTATTATAGTACTCTTAATCTAGTCATAAGTAATAGAAATTTGTTAAATAATATAAATTGTATAATATTTACATACAATATCATTACAGTATTATTATACGTTATACATACAATTTTTTTAATCATATTTTGCCCATGTGATATGTATATAATATGAACAACCATTAATTAACACTAATAAAAAACTATAAATATTTATTTTATTCAACAATCTGAAGAAATATGATAAAATTGTGATTCTCGCTTTTTTCTTTTCATGCAAAACTCGTTTCGTATTTTTTCTTCTGTTGTAATTATTAATGTAACCATTATTAAATATTAATAATATCTATAATAATAAAAGATTACGTATATACGATAATAAATATATGTAGAAAAATAACTAAGTCTAGCTAGTATAAATAATATGAGAGGAATATCTCTGTATATATAAACAAGGACCACCTTTGCATATACTAGTTATAGTTCTTATTACTGTATTCTTTGAAAATATTCTTCATAAATGAATGTATTGCGTTATGCTAGTTTAAACAGAAAACTTGTAACATCTATCTACTTACTCAAATTTACTTTCTTAAATCTGATGCTTCTTTCTATTCATAACTATTTATAAATATATTAGTAAATTATTCATTTAAATAAAAAAGAAATAACAAATTTTTTTTCTTAGTTATAACATACCTAGAACTAAACAAAAATATTTTCTTAATTGAACAATTTCTCAACTGATGATATCAGCATTCATTTGAGTTCAAAAATAACTTCTTAACCTTGAAGAACCTTGTTATTAATTTTTTTACAATATTGGTGACCATTTTAATTATACTAACTTGGCTTTGCAACTAAATTAATGTGCTTTCGTGATATCTGAAATGATAAAAATATTCTAACAATATTACATTTGGTTGTTCATTCTTATGCATTCTTATGCGTCCGTTCTTATGCATAAATTCAAACACAAGACACTTTCTTTCCTGAATTATAACTCACTCTCTGCACTAACATTTGTTTGGACATTTAGGTCCATGAAAAGTTACTCCTAATTCTGTAACAAATACAAAATAATAAGTCTAAATAAGTAAATATATTAAAATTATGTTACATGTGTACACACATAAATTATATAAACAATACTTACTACTGAGTTTGTACAATACCGCAGCTTCAGCCCATTCATCAGAACCGTCGCAACAGTCACAATGTCCATCATTGACTTTGTACGACGGTATTCTTGCTGCAAATTTATCCAAATTTCCTAAATTACTTCTCTCATTCAACTTCTAATAGTTACGCTATAAAAATATTACATACAGCAAAGGGATTTGATTACAATACCTGCTGACTTCCTGGAACTCTTTTCACAATTGAAGAAACCAATGTTGCAGGCGTTGGTACCTGGTTCATCGCTACCGTCCATCGGACAGTCACAATAATCATCGTTGATCCTCACAAAATCAATCTCCCTCTTCGAGGCGAAGCACACAAATTTCCCGTTGATGTTGGGGAGGTACTTGGCTATGTCTTGATCCCGTGTGCCACGCAACGACACTGTCCGGCCGTTCTTGTCGCGTATGAGCTTCGAATGGTACGGCTGGTTCCACTTGTCGACCCGCTTGCCGCCGACGACTATGCGATGGGTGTCCTGAACCGAGCCGACGATCAGCTTCCCCTTGGTGTCCTCGTTCAGCTCCCTCAAGTAGAGCAGCTGAGGCAGCAGGAATAGCCCCCCGGCCATCACGAAGAATAGCAGGAGTATGTACTTCTTTCGCGGTCGGATCCGCTGGTCCCAGGACAACTCGGTCCCGAGTTGCGTGCTCTTCCTCAGCCCCTTCATGTCTCCTCCGCCGGCTAGCCGTTACCATAGAACACTGTCGCGCGGTGGATCTCGCCTCGTTACGGCGACGTTTCTTCGACGTGCGTCGACACCGCGCGGGATCGTCATAGTGTAAACATCTGCCTGCAGATCGTCGTATCGTCGGCTGATTGCAATTGTCGGATACGCTACGCTTCGGTACACAACTTCTTTCCTGCCTTGCTGCTCCGCAGTTCGCACGCGCGACGCGATCAGCTGTTCTATTTACACACGCACATCACCGTATATACAGGACAGCACCAGGGTGCCCACAGTAACACGCATGCATCTCAGGCTGAATGCGCGGCCGGAGTGAGGCAGAATGAAGGACGAAGGCACGTGGAGCGAATGACCTCGTGACATAACCTTCGTTTCGGGTACGCGGCGTTCGTAGGTCTTCGTTTTTCCCTCCCTACGTATGTCCAGATTCTTTCGCAAGTCGTACTCCACGACGGTGAACGTGGGACTCGCCGGTGGCAGATCGCCGATGGAAATGGCAAATCGGAAGGCTCCACTGATTTTCGAGGTGCTCGCCGAGTGCGAAACCACGAAAGCCAGAACCGGCAGGATGACACTTGTTCATCATCACGTGGACACACCGGTGTTCATGCCGGTGGGAACGCAGGTTTGTAAAAACTCCTTGCCCTCTTAATTAAGCTCTTATTTAAGCTGCACACGAAGCGGCTCGCGCGAAATATTAAGAGACGCAAATATATGCCTTCTTATATTCAAAATCAAGATGAAACTTCTTGCAAGGATGACGACTCCTTCATTTTCAATATTAAATATTTTGGTAACGCCTGAAATTAAAATTCTGTTAAAGCTCACAATTCTTGAAATTAGTGGTAAATTATTAATAGAACATTTATATAATCAGAGCTTACATAATTCGTAAAAGAACTTCTTTTAAAAGCTATCAATGCTTTATTATGATTTGATGCTTCGATATGCTTCCACGAAAAACTTTTAATTAAAACAAATTCATCTTGAAAATCTTGATTTTTTTTTTAATAATTCTATGTGTATAAGTTATGACATTGAATTTGCCATTGCGCCATTTTCAGGGAACGTTAAAAGGATTGTTGCCTCAACAGCTGGAGCAACTGGATTGCCAAATAATTCTTGGCAATACCTATCATCTTGGAAACAGACCTGTACGAAATCATACATTATCAAGAAAGATTATTTTATTTAGATAAAATTCTGTCTTGAGTTTTTTAGATTTATTAGTTAAAATTATGTACTTTCAGTTTCGTGTTAAAATATATCCTCTCTATGTTTGTAGGGCGCAGATATTTTGCGTAAGGCTGGAGGTTTGCATAAATTTATGAATTGGAAGAGGGCTTTGTTAACGGACTCGGGTGGTTTTCAAATGGTTTCATTGTTACAGCTAGCTGAAATAACAGAAGAAGGAGTTAAGTTTAAATCACCATACAACGGTACATATATATATATAGACAGATTTATGTTTAAATACATTCAAACATAACTTATATGTAATTCAATTGACTTATATAATGTTTACATTCGTGTTTCATACAGAATCTGAATGTATGTTGACACCCGAACATTCCATTCAAATTCAAAATGCAATTGGCGCCGACATAGTCATGCAGCTCGACGATGTCGTTAAAAGTACTTTAACCGGACCAAGAGTAGAAGAAGCAATGCATAGGTACAATTATTTTTGTGAACGCATTTTCTAAATAGCATATTCCCTAAATGTTGCTTGTAATTAGACCGAGTATTTAACGCTTAACAAACCATTTCTCAGAACGATACGTTGGCTGGACCGCTGCTTGTCAGCGCACGAAAGACCGGATGAGCAAAGTATATTTCCGATCGTACAAGGTGGCCTCGATCCCGAGCTACGATCTGAATGCGCTCGTCAATTGATTAAGCGGGAGGTGAATGGGTATGCTGTAGGAGGTTTGAGGTAGATGCCGGATTAATTTAGTAATACATTTGATAAAACAGGAGATCAGCTTATGTATAATAAGTAAGGAATTTTAAATCTTACGCAATATAATAATAGATGATTCTTATGATTTCAGTGGCGGCGAGAGCAAGGATGATTTTTGGAGGATGGTCCACCTATCAACGAATATCCTTCCAAGGAGTAAACCGCGATACCTCATGGGTGTTGGATTCGCAGTAGACCTAATCGTATGCAGTGCGTTAGGTATCGATATGTACGACTGCGTATTCCCGACGAGGACCGCTGTAAGTATTTCATAGAATACGTACGTCAGAATGTGCGCGGGAAATGGAAAAACAAAACGCTCGAAACTTTCAGAGATTTGGCTGCGCGTTGGTGAAAACGGGACAGATCAGTTTAAGGCAGGCGCAATATAAAAAGGACTCGAGACCGATAGACGAGTTGTGCGAGTGTAGCACTTGCAGGACTTATACGCGCGCGTATCTCCATCAAATCGCCACTGTGGAGACGGTGTCGTGTCATCTGCTAACCGTTCACAATATTGCATTCCAAATGAAGCTCATGCAAGACATCAGGAGCAGTATAAAAGAGCAGAGATTCCCCAGGTTCATACGGGACTATATGTTGACAGTTTATCCGAATAAAGACTATCCAGAATGGATAGTTAATGCTTTACAAGCTGTCAATGTTACCTTATTGTAAAATAGGGTAACGCTGATTTGTATTACTGCTATTATCCTTCTGTAAACCATGCATTTTTAATATCTACATAAAGACTTTTGTAACTTATTTCTATAACTTATTTCTCTCGTTACGTTGAAATTACAGTGACGTGTCTAAGTACTTGTGAGCTCCAATTGTAAGCATGTAAGAATTTAATAATCTTGCCCCACTCGTTTGTCATTATAGCAAGATTACGATTGTAAACTTCTTTAGAAATTTATCAATGACAAAACAGTCTTCTGTTATACAGACAGGCATGTAGTGTACATGGACTCATCCAGAAATGTTTACAATTTTGCAAATACAGTATTTGCAAAATATCGTTATAAATCAAATAAATAGAAGTACTTGAAAGGAGATATTTTACACTTTTTATTCTGGGATTTTCTTCCTTTGCGTATTACTGAAGATGGTAGAGAACGAGAGAGGCACGCGCTGCATATACAAGTATCACATAAAATCGTCCGAGTCATATCCACTGGTTTCTGTGTTCGAAGTCATGTTGGACGCGTTAAACAGGGAATTATAACTCCTAGAACGTAATTTTTTTTTATTTGTATCATAAAATGTATGTTCCATATATAATTGATATTACGTATATCATAGAATTATACTCATTGTTATAAAATTATGATTTACCTCATCTCCGCTTCTTCCTGACGTCGCTTTTCCTCAGCCTTTTCTTTCTCTTTCTGCTCTCTCAAGAGCTTCTTCTTGTCTTCCCGTTCGTTTCTATCTCTCTGTTCTCTCTCAGCACAGAAGTCCACTTGCTCCGAACGTTTCGTCTTTTCAAGGCGATTCACGATAGTGTTTATTCGCTTAGCAACATGAATCTTGCGAACGTCCTTGTCCCTGTAAAAGCCAACTTGACCAACCTCCATACTTGGCATCTTTTTCAAATTCGACCACATTGTGTACACGACATCGACATCATTCATTCTGTTCCCCTCGATGCTGTTTGCTTTTACTAATTGTGCGGCATCTTCTAGTACAGTACTCGGAATGTCATCTATTGTCTGTCCCTGTTAATGTCAAAAAGAATGAAATTTAGACAAATTATAAGTGGCTCATATTTAAATTATATCAACAAGCTGTTGAGTCAAGCTGGATGTAAGTGTAGTGATTTTATATCATTTTTTTAATATCAAAACAAACAGGAGAAATCCCTAACTGACAATTAAACTCACATGTCGAAGCCGAAGGTACACATGGGCAGATGAATATTTATCGACGTGAAACCACACATCTTCTGGCCAGCCCCATTTAATAAGATCTTCATCTACAAGCAGAATTCAATAAATCACAAAATCAATATCACACTACAAATTAATTTTTATAAATAACATAAATACAAGCGGGTTTTCTACTCACTCTCGAATTTATCTAGCCCCATGAACAACGTGACGGGTGGTTGCACAACTGCAAATCAAGATACGATGCAAGATACATTAAACCAGTTTTTCAATGATAACGAAATATTATTAACAATTTACGGGGAATACGTTGTTCCTTTTCAATTAAAAAACTTTATAAAGATAACGTTTGACGAATGCAGAAATTACCTTCGCTTGTGAAATAATAAACCATTATACTGACGGAAATTACGAGTAAATTGAAGTAAACGGCCACGTGCAACGAAATCAGATGTTAAAAATATTTTTGTAACGTCGACAACGTCACTATCAGATGTTTCGGAGGTATATAAATTAACAAATATCTAAACTCTAAAAAATCTACAGGTAACAAGGAGAGAGCAGCAAATATGGAAGTAAATTTACCATCCGTATTGAAGTAGATTGAACGTATATCCACTGACATCTCTACGTGCATATTGAACTTCGTATCCACCGATATTACCCGCAGGAAAAGAACTTGGAAAAGAACTTATTATATGTCTATGTCTCTCTGCAGGCCAAATAAAAAAATTTTATCCTGATTCGCTAATCTCCCAGTGAAATTTCAAAATGACGTGACGATTCTGAAACTTAATACTTAATTGCTTTTTCATTTATTTCGGCATTACAGATGCATTGATTAAAAACTAATTAATTTATTGTATAAAAAATAAATATCTATCTCACAATAATTTTGACTCGACGCAATAATTGTACCATAATTTACGTTGTGTTTCCAAATTAATATATTATATAAAATTTTATATATAAAAATTTTAATTTCTCTCAAATTGTATTTTTTGTATATTTTATATATTTTCGACATAAAAATTAAATTGAAAAAAATGTTTCATTTATTTTTGTTTTAGAACGCCACAGATGCGTTCAAATACATTTATTTTAACAACGGTGGTATAGTTACAGAAATTTAAAACTGCAATCTATTTTGCAACTTGCATGACTGACTAGCTTTTCGATTTGGAGAATGGAAAAGTACATTTGATACAAATACGAATATTTTACTATAAGAATTTATATTACACGTTAAAATAACAATTCTTCTTTAAATATATATTAAAGCACATTTCTCTAAGAACTGTCAACAGGCAATTTGTACAACGTCAAAAGCACTGTATGCAGAAACGCAAATTATGTTTGATAGCATATTATAGCAAGCGAATTGAATAATCAATGGGATCTTCATAAATATAATATCTTTAAACTAGCAGTGATTATAATTAGAACTATAATTAACTTGCCATAATTATAGTTATATTACAATTTGATTACACATAATCAAAAATGCAAAAATTATAACTGATCACACTAATTGATATTCCAAATCTCTGCAAAAATTATTTGTAAATTTATATAAAAAATATGGATGTTCCACAGAGACTCAAACAAGTTTTGCCGTAGTACTAGGTATAACGATTCATGTGGATGGCATGTTTTTCGGTGTGATATGTCTTGGATATCTGGCCAAGCATAGGTGAAATTTCGGGATCGTTAATCCATATGTTTGCTGAGGCGGGTGTTTCGATCATTGACAAATACGCTAAAAGAAATAGGGAAAATTTTTTAGAAGACATACGATTTTTGTTTATTATAGCTTCTTGCAGTATCATCTTACCAAGCAACATCTTGGGCTTTGTAAGACTAAGCTGAATATGAGGATTACTCATAATTGCTTTATAGATTAGACCATCGGATTCGAGGCCCTCGTCCAAGTCTTGTAAACTGCGTCTTCTTTCGCCCAGCAACCACTCGCACTGCGAAAAGAGAGAGAGAGAAATGTGAAACGATATGAAAATATAATTTAAACACATGTTTTTGGACCATTACAACTTACAGCGTTTGCCTGATCGTTCCCAGTAACTTTCAACGCTCCTACAACATTCTTCTCGTCAAAGCCCATTTCTACAAGCGACCGCACTGCCTTCTTATTAGGTTTAAATTCCATTTTCTTATACTGTCGACAACTTTGCAACAACAATTCCACGATCTGCACCAGATTTTTTTCTTTTCGATCCTGTTTTTCTGAAATTAAGATATTTTTATACGCAATCTTCTTTCTCACGTACTTTGTTGCCTTCAAATTACATGTATCTTTCAGATAACGACACATTTCAATCTCGTGCTAGAATTACCTGTTTCAAACAGTTCTAAGCATGCGTCTTTTAATTTTTTCTTAGTGTTTAGTGAAGAACTGGGACTCGCGATACTCGTGTCTGTCGTTGTATCCACGGAATCCAGAAAATCTGTTCCATCATCATCTTCGTCATCCGAATCATCCTGATGTTCTATAAGCCATTCCAAAGCTTCAGTCATATTCGATCTGAAACGGAGGCATATTTCCGTATTAGTATTTATTGCGTGAATTACCGTGAGTGTGTTAAACATGTACAGTATAATAAATATATGATAAAAACACAAGGTACACCTACTTTCGAAGACGCAACGCTTTGAGAACTTTCTTCTGAGGATAACCCATTTCTATTAGAGTTTTCACGACTTTTGGATCGCTGACGGGCTTACACCTGGCTTCGAGTTTCTCCTTAATGATCTCATACAATTTCTCAGCGTCGGGGCTGTACATTAAGATCCTCGCGGACGCTTGTACAAGGGATATTAAAATCTTACGGATTTCATTCTGGAACTACAAGTAAAGAGAGATTAGCGTAACAAACATGCAAAATGTACACACATTAAGATTTGAAACATTCAGAATATATATATTTACATCCGCAGGCCATTCTGCAGGCGGCACAGGCCTAGGTGGATTTTGTAGACTAAGTAAGTGACTTGTAGCACGAGCTATTTCTTCTAGACTTGGACCCTTGAGAGCTTCTTCCGAAAGATTCTCGTTTATAGCGACTGACGATCGTTTTTCTACTAATAATAATTCATCTGTAACAATAAATTAGTCGCTCCGTTAAAAAGGCCATACACATGCAGACAGCATGTAATGCAAATTGAAAATCCACAAATTGAAGAAAATAATTATAAGTTCTTGGCAAATTTTTTGTAAGCTGAAGAGAAATAAATTTCATTCTAATTACATTATAAATTCGTAAATGTATAGCTCGATACAAATTAATTCTACCGTATTCGTTGATATCCTCGTCGGCTACGCAATTCTCATCCGCGAGCTGTTTAAATTTGGACGAATGAGCTAAGCGGTAGCGTGAGACGGGTTTGGTTGTGTCCTGACCATAGAAATGTACCACAGCTATTTTCTTAATGTTTTCCACAGTAAAATTCGGCTTTACTGTAACGTCCATTACATTGCCCTCTGTGCTGTATAAAAAGACTCGAACGTTATCTAAACGCCTGATTATTTCTTGAATTTTCGACGATCACGTTAAACTAAATTCAACGCTAAAATAAATTCAAACCTGATGACATTGACGGAGAAGTTTTCGGGTGAGGTAGGTAACGGCGTAAGCATGGTGTTGTTGCTTGCAGGATTGCCTGTGCTGACAGAAGAAAGGGCCAAGGACCGCTTGTCAGCCGCCCTTGAACTTTTCCTGTTATGCCAGGCCTCTGCAATTTGATCACGCATCCATGGGATCATTAAATTTACCTGAAACACACGAGGGCAATCATTGTCACGATTGTTATACAATCAGAATTAAAATATATAGATGATTTTATATACGTATATATATATTTATAGAACAAAAATATATAATAATTACGCTCTTAGATAGGCACATTAAACGCTTGACTTTAACATCTGTATCATAGCTACACAAAATTCAATATGTCTAATTTTTATAGAAAATTGACGTGAGTAGGTGTAATTTATATTTCCTTACTTTTATGTTTCCGAGTCCCTCACATAAATAATTTGGACCGCGATTTTAGTGTCGCGTAAAAATAAATCGATGGACCCGCGATCGAGAAGGTTACACCGACGAATGCAAATCATTTTTCGGCCAAGCTGTCGAGCGCGTTAAAGAATCGACGAGAATCGGCTTAACATCTTCGGGTGGGCGCAATTGAACATATTATATATATTATTTTTGAAGAACTTGGCCCCTTTTTTATTTACTCCGCAAGAACCGCGACTGTCATAACTGGCCTGGGCTTATCTCCGCTGATAGCAGCTGATAGTCGCATTCGCTGTCACTCGACGATCGACATGGGCGTTCAGTGGCGCCTCTGCGCGCACAAAGCATGCACTTTCAACTGTTTTGCACGTAACAGCTGGTAACGCCGGAGAGGTAACACGAACACCACACATATTAATGTATATATATATATATATATATATATATATGTGTGCATTATGTACATGTGTGTGCAACCAAATCGGTATAATTTAATCGCAGTCCGAATTTTCGGGATGAGAAAAGAAGAAGGGACGACAAGCGGAGGGAAGTACAGACATGAGGAGACTTCGCGTTCCTCTTTTGTCTCCTTTCTCGCGAATCGCCATGGATTTCGATGGCGCGTCAAAAGCGCCACGCATATATATATGTAAAATACAGAAGAACTCCGCATGCCTCGCGAACAGCGAAGGCCGAAGCGAGGAGGAGACCGGCGCGTCGCCATGGCAACGGAACGCGCGGAACGCACGGACTGATGTTTCGCGTTCCGCCGTTCCGGCCAGCAGCTGCGACTGTCAGCTGTTCAATATGGAACGATAGCAAAGCGCAGTCACTTGTAGGAGTCGGCCGTCGTCGGACACAGAGCCAAAGAGAGAGAGAGAGGAGCCATCCGTAGCCGAGCCAGAGAGGCAGCCGAACGAGCGAGCGAGTGTCGCGCGTGTGGTGTGTGTTGTGTGCGTGCGTGTGTGTGTGCGTGCGGGTGCGCGTGCGTGTGTGCGTGTTCCTCTCGTACGTGCCACCAGCAGCGCGCGCGCAGGAGCGGGCGCGAGCACAGGACGGACGGACACACGGTGTGACACAGACAGGGGGAGAGGTATTCCGCTTCCGCGTTGCGCCGAGGAGCGCTCGCGCGAACTCGCAGCCGCAGGGGTCTCCTGAGACAGAGAGAAAGAGAGAGAGAGAGTGTGTGTGTGTGTTTTCTTCTTCTCGGGGACTAGAGCGTGTTTTGTGTCGCGCGCGCACGGCCACGCACGTGCCCCGACGTCCGGGGGATTTATGCCGAGAGATCCCGCCCGAGAGATCAAACCTGGATGTATTAACGCAAGGGCTAAGGTACAGCATAACAGGACTCATGAACCTCGCAACCAACCAGACGTCCGACACGACGTCCGACGCGCAGAGCAATGGTCCCTACTTCGTCAACTTCAATCAGGACTGCACGTAAGTGTGCCTCTCTATCTCTCCGGGTCCATCCTCTGAATCCTCCAAATCGCGCAATTTTGTTCGAGATCCCCCCCCCCTCCTCCGCCCGCGCCGCACCTCCACTGCCGCTGCTGCTGCCAACTCCTTTGTCTGAGATCCTAACCTCGCGCGCGCGATCGCCTCGATCTTCGATCGTCTCTTCCCCGCGTCTCTCCTCCACGCGTGTCCTCTTTTCTCTCACTCTCTCAATACAAACATGTATATACATATATAAGTTTATAACTCTCAAAAAAATTTATACATATATATGTATATATATATATGTGTATATAGCGAATATGTACGCCAAGGTTTGCGCGTCGCGCTCCATGTTTTCCTCGCGCGATGTTTTCGTCGCGTTATGCCTGCGTCATTCGTCGCTCTGCTCCCCCTTTCACCGATTAATTGCGTGTTAACGAAAGAGAGAGAGAGAGAGATCTCCAACCTTCGCGCGCGCGTTCTCCCGCGCGCGTCGCGTCCCAGCGAGCGAGAAGACGGAGGGAAAAAAAAGAAGGGAAAACGCGGCGACGATAAATCGCGCACCTCCCGCGTGCGCGCGGATACGCGTGCACCGCGTGTCGCCGCCGTGAGCCAGTCGCCCAAGCGGCCTGGCCTTTCCACTCGCACGTCGCCTTTATCCAAGGACTTATCCTCGGCTACTCCTGCTCCTCGCGCGATTGCCGTATCGCTCGCGCGGTGACTCCGTTATTACTTTTTTTTTTCTTCCATACACGAACGATATTCGCACGCACGCGAATAGCAGTAATATCGGGAGATAGGCAAACAAAGGGTATCGAAGGAGCTCAACTCTCTTTGTGTTTTAAATACCGTCACGTATTTCTAAAAAAAAAAAAGAGAAAGCTTCGCAACTGCACTGTTGATAAGACTCCTGATTATTTTTTTAGGTCCTTGGCGGTGGGATCGAAGTCGGGATACAAACTTTACTCCATCAGCTCCACCGGACACCTTGAGAAAATATATGAAAATGGTAATAATTGGTTTTCCTACACTATCAATAGCGAGGCTCATGATAACTGCTACAACGATAAATGATTGGCAGAACGATAGTTAGTGATAAGCCTCATTGGCGAGATAAAAAGGTTGTAAAAATCTTTTATGTCAAAGACATTTTTTTTATCTCGCTATTTTTTTGTCTCGCATCAATATTGTCCGGTAAATTTTATATCTAGTCTGTGTACATCATGATAGAATTTTTTATTATTGCATAAAAATATAATAACATATTGTGTAATATGATTGATGACGAAATAACGATTTGATGTGGTCTAGTGATCAGACAAGGCTATCCCTCATGGGCGGTATATTAAATTGCACTTTCCATATAATTATCTAACTGTTTATGTAATTCACAATTCTATAATAAAAAAGATTTAAAAAAAAATTTTTTTAAATGCAACCTCTAATGACATATTTTTAAATGCAATCTTTTTCAAATGACGTTTTATTTCTTACAAACACCACTAAAAAGGCGCCAGTCATCGATGATAACCATGAAGATTAGCCAGTAATGAAACTAAACGCTTGAAAAAAACCTTTGATGTTATTAATTAGAATATTTCCTCTTTTCGAGATGATGCAGACTTCGAGGACATATGCATTGTTGAACGATTGTTCAGCAGCAGTTTGGTGGCGATCGTGAGTCTCAAGTCGCCACGTACGCTTACGGTGTGCCACTTTAGAAAAGGCACGGAGATCTGCAATTACAGTTACTCCAACACAATTTTGGCTGTGAAACTCAACAGAGCGGTAAGTTATGCGATTTATGTTTACATTCTTTTTCTTCTCTTTCAATAAGTGGCCACGGAACCTGACTCGTGCCTCGACCTTCAATGTGAAAGCATTGCAATCCTATGTGAAACCTTGGTTTCGTTACAATCGCGATTTTTATGGGAAAGGATTTTGAAGTTTGACAAGTAGCAATAATTGACATGACTGATAAGTATTTCACGTGGTTGTCAGTCACGTGTACAATTTTCTTCAACTTAATAACGAAACCGCTTTACGCACATTACAAATGTAGAAAATCCTGTATATGTGGGATGATGATTCGAACTTGAGATTCGCTAATTACGAGTCCGCTGTTCTCACGCGACATCCCAATGTTTACATTAACGAATTAACACACAAATGCTTGCATTAATAATAATATGAGCACAAACAACAGAATTTTGAAAAATATATGTAAGATCATACTGGACATATACGTATATTTGTATGAACTATTTATTTTTTTAATTCTAAAAAGATTCATATATCTTACGATAATTTTCACTTATTTTAAATTGCAATCAATTTATATTTGTTGGCATTTTACCGTAAAATAAATATACTTTGATTTATAATAAGTTTTATGTTTCTCATAATTAAATATTGAAGATAGTATCGCTTATTTTTCAGAGATTGGTGGTATGTCTGGAGGAATCGTTATACATTCATAATATACGAGATATGAGAGTGTTGCACACAATTCGCGACACTCCACCTAATCTAACAGGCCTTTGTACACTTTCGCCAAATAGCGACAATTGTTATGTGGCTTACCCGGGATCGAATACGATCGGGGAGGTCCAGATATTCGACGCGAACCACCTTGTACGTATCTTGAACGCATTTTCGAATGAGTCAATAAAATCTTTTGCGCATTAGATATTGATATTTTAACAACTTTGCGTTTTTGCTATTCAATTACACAGCAAGCCAAAACGATGATACCTGCACACGATAGTCCATTGGCAGCGATCGCTTTCAGCTCGAACGGCACCAAAGTGGCGACAGCCTCTGAAAAGGGCACCGTTATCAGAGTCTTTGACGTAAGATACAACAGTGGCTGTATACTCATGGTTTACATTTTACCGATAACCGCTGTGCTAAGTGCAAAAATTATTTATTTGTACAGGTCCACGAGGGTACAAAGTTATTCGAATTTCGACGCGGAGTTAAGAGATGCGTCACGATAAACAGTCTCTCTTTCAGTATGGACTCGATGTGGCTCTGTTGTTCTAGTAACACGGAAACCGTGCATATATTCAAATTGGAAGAACCAAAGGAAACGTACGCATCGCGTGTCCGCTGTTTTTTCTTTTTTTTTTCCAATGATTTTTACTCCACTGTAGAAATGTAGAAATTAATGCTCGCGTTCGCAGGCCAAACAAACAAACTGCGGACGAAGCACAAAGCTGGATGGGATATTTGACGAAGGCTGTGACAGCGTCGGCTACGTACCTGCCGTCGCAAGTGACTGATGTTTTTACTCAAGGACGTGCTTTCGCTAGCGTCCACCTACCGTTTCAAGGTTTAAAAAATGTCTGTGCCATCACTGTGTGAGTATCCGAGCTTGAATATCTCTTAAATCTACGTACAGTCATGGACACATCGGTTGCGACACTTTTTCTTTTTTATAGGTTTCAAAACGCACTAATATTTTGCAAATGCGGACCACGATTGGTGTTATACTGTCTCTAGACTAAAAGATAGTACATCGTGGCTCGCATTTGCAAAATATTAGTTATCTATAAAATATATATTATGTATATTAAATATATATTAGAAACTTATGAAAAAAAAAGTGTCGCAACCGATGTGTCCACAACTGTACACAACTGCGCGCGTTTAAATTCCATTACGCGTCCGCGAGATACATTTTATTTGTTTACGTTTTTTAGAACGCATAAAGTACCAAAACTGTTAGTAGCTAGTGCCGATGGTTACTTATACGTCTACTCCGTGGATCCGACAGAAAGTGGATGCTGCACCCTTATAAAACAGCACAGGTTCGTAATGTATTGCATATCTCCCATTCGGGTCTTATAAAAGTGAAAAAATTGACAGTCGCTATTTTTAATTGCAAATTTTCGAATCGTTATTTTTGGTCGTTATTCTTAAGATATTAATAGATTGGTGCATAAAAAAAAGATGTCTTGCTCATTTTTCACAGATTAGACGACAAAGAGCGAGATGAATCAGATTGTGGCGGTTCTGGTTCGGGAGCAACGGCTACCGCGAATAATACAAATACAGGTATGAGGGAAGAATTTTGGTCTTTGCACTTTACAGTATGTTAGTTGAAGCGAGTTGACGATAAAGATACATTACCGACAGTTAATTTGAAAGTACATTTAATAATGCGAAACTTCTTTATATATCCAGTATAGTACGCTTGAGTGTGTATAGATTTTTATTTTATTTTATTTTATTTTTTTAAAGTAATTTTGTGATTTTGTGATAAGTTTCGCAATTACTCGAGCACTAACAGAATAGAATTAAGTATCTCCTTCTTTATTCAAAGCATGCCACATACACACACATACAATTGGTACTGGCAGATATTTTCATATTTTATGTCGTAATGAATTTATTGTAACATATTCACGACACAATTGACTAGCGATTGAATCTCAGTAAAAAGAAAAGAAAGTTTTTCTCTCGTTCAAGCCTTCTATCTTTTATCCGTGAGAGTTGAACAATGGCAAAAAAAAAATGACTCGTTGATAACAAATTCTATCAGTTGTAAGAACCTGTGAATATAAATATTCGTATTTTTATTGCTTAGACAAAAGCTGTAAATCTCGCTACGTTGCTGTGTTTCATTGTTGTAGTAGACACAACTCGCTACTTCATGTTGTTTGTAGATAGGTTCTGCTGTAAGCATTCATTAAAGTTGGCCCAGTATCAGCTCTAATGAAACGCTCATGTCGTTGGCTACGTACCACGGCTGTATGGGTGTGTATGCGTGTATGCCGCGCGCCGTATTCCGCGCGTATTCCAGAGACGCCCTTTTACTTTTTACACAATTCGCTTTATGTCTTTTCTTTTTTTCTCGCTTCTAGCCCTCCCCTTTAGTAATAATAAATGAAATTAGCCAGATAATGTCTTCTCGGGGGAAGGGGGAGGGGTGGGGAGGCGTCCGATAGTTGACCTTACTTGATGTAATTTTTTTCTTTTTAATATCCACCGAAGCCTGCATAAATAGCTACGCGGGTGTGTTGCGTGGCCGCTCGCCAGACTCCATGTCAGGTACTGGTATGTCCTCTATTCTGTCCCTCGAATTTTTTTTTTCGCTCTCATTCTCCGTACACGAGACACCTAATTCTCCTTTAGAGCTTTTTTCTCTCTTTTTGTGTGCGTGCGTGTGTGTGTGTGTGAGGGGGGGGATATATGTATGTGTGCGCGTCTCATTACCAGCGCGTTCGCACATTTTGATTTCGGTATGTACACGCAGCGAAAGGAAGAATGAGAGCAGCGCTGACTTAACAATGTGCCTTTTCACGCGGCGTACATCCTCGGCGCGCTAATACGAGCCGTTTGTGTTATTATAAATACGTATCTCACAAAAAAAAAACGGGGATAATCACACGAATCTATTACGCTTATTAACTGTAGAACTGATCGAACGGATTCTTAAGGACGATGCAGTATACGTGAGCGTATGATGGACACGTGTGTGCACCAGGCATGCATGTAGGCACTAGTCTATTACTCTCGGGATAAAATCACTAAGCACATGTATGCAAGTTGTTTCACTAAGTCAGCAGATATAATAATGTCCAGCATTGTTGCATCCTGTTACGAGTTACGTCCCGAGAATTCCTATAAGCAGTAGTCTATTCTTCTAGAAAACTAGCTCATAGACACCCTATTATTATAATAATATATTAACAATTTGTACATAGCGATTACTAACATATAACTGCTAAGGCTGTTAACATAAATAAGCTGGTATATTATAATTGTATATGGTGTTATATGAACGGCAGGTAGTAGTGCAATATTTTTCTAGAACAACTTTACGTACTAATCTTTAAAAGTACATATATGACGTACTTCTGTTAACAATATTGTTGCTTTATACGTTAAATTCTGTATAATGTAATGAGATATACATAATGTAAGAAAATAGATCTTTTTATCTAATATTTTCTTCTTTTCTCTTTTTGGTCTTCACATTATAAAATCGAATAATTGAATCGAAAACAGGCTGTGAGAAACACACGAGGGGAATTATTTTGCATCCGTTTGAAAAAAAAAAAAAAGATAGTCAATACCTAGAAAATACAGTCGTAGAAAACGAGAGTCGTATTACTTAAATCTGTCTAGTCATGTACATATTGCTTCATAGTTTCTCTTCCGCTATCGTATTGAACAAGAAAAAACACTCACATCGTCGCGAATACGCAAGAGTGCCTTTTACAAAAGACAATTAGTGTGCCATATACGCACATGTTTTTTTTTAGAATAACTTATTCAATTGATAATCATATAGTAATTTAACAGTTTTCTTATTCTCAAAAAAATCACGTTTTACATTTTATAATACATACAATATGACGTATGTGTTAAAAAATCAAACGCCTGTGTGAGATTAATATTACTGATTTTTTTTCCATATAGAGAAGACCATAATTTCATTTTCATTAACGAATTCATTAGTGAATGTATTTCACGGCAATGTGATGTAGACAATGGTCAATGAGATATTTAATATTTGCACTCAGATAGAAACGTATTCCTGTGCGGTATTCGAACGCGTTGCAGAGCACTCGTGTTCTGGCCTCATAAAGTCGAGGATCTTGAAGATCGAGTATCTTGCATTGAGAAAAAAAAAGCTCCAAATCGCAGTCGGGAACCGTATAATCTGAATGCATAAAATATATCATGTATCATTGAATGCTGATCGTCTGTATACATCTTTATCGTTATATCCGCTCGAGATAATGCGATCGAGATGGAAACTTGATAATCTGAATGGATTTGTAGAGTCAGAGAAGTATCAAGAGATGATAGCGGCAACGGAAAGCCCACCGAAAGGCGGCGGCCCGTTTCGTCTGGACGATGACACCGAATTCCCACCTGTTACGCAAAGGACAGACTGAGCATAGCACACACACATAGTTAAGGCATATCAAAAGCTCAAGCCGAAACGGGAATGCGAGTAGCAACGTGCAAGAGCAACGAAAGAGGCGAAGGGGGCACAGAGTGCAGAGAGAGGACGTCCAGTATTTACAGACGGCCGTATATCCAGTACTCCGAGAGTTCAGTAGAACCAAAAAAAAAAACATAAAAGAAAATCTAGTAGGCGATATTACCGAGATTGTTGCGTTATCTTGTAAACGCGTCAAAGATGTGTGCACGCTAAATTAGGAAGATCGATTTTTTTTTATGCTAAACGATGCGTACAACAGTAAAAAAAGAAAAAAGACAGCACCGTTGGATAACTTTCTCGGTCATATTACTGAGCTGTTGGAACTTTAAGCGGAATTTCTTTTATTATTAGTTGAATATGCATTGCATTTGCAAAGGAAATGCAATATCCGCGCGGAGAATATAGTAATCCAATGATAACGATTTTTTGAGAAGCGTTTACCACGGAAATTATGCAATAAGATATCTTTTACCAAGCGTATACAGAGGGTATATATTATAACAGCGCGAAGTATTGTACTCTCTAATACTTCTGTGTTTTATATATACAAGTACCTTGTATAGAAAACGTGCGTTTTTATTGTAGCCTAAGACGGCTCAGGATATTCCAATGTCGGAAATCACGGACCAGTGCATATTTTAACGAATGCTATTTTCTGAGCAATTCAGAAAAGCGATAATTATTATTTGTCTAGGCTTTCATGCGTATACGAGTATTTTATCAACAAAAAAAAAATTATTTTAGTTTTAGGAACACGGAGACGAAATACTGTGAAGAATATTCGGTCTACTTGTATAATTGCTGAAAACGAATATGATTTATTAAAAGACTATGTAATTATGTTGTAAATAGATGATGAGCATCAAACCCAACTCAAATTCTGACATATTTACGACTAATGTATTTTAAATGAATTCATGTTAATATTTAATATTTATATAAATTATGTTTAAAAATCGATATAAACAAAATTGAATTTCTGCCCCTTTTTACTCTCCCCCCATCACATGAAACCTGCGAAAATAAAAATTGCGGAATAAATTTTGCTATGTTTAAACACACGTTTGAACTCGCGACATAAAACTCTGATTCGTTGCACGTCTCATTGGATTGCTATATTTTATGACGAAATCTTTGTCTTCTTTGTGTTCAACAAAGAAAGCTCATCTTCTTTGCGAGTGAAGATGTAAAGACGTATAAATATGTGTGGTAAATTGTCGAACGATGAGCTTCAGCTCTGTAATTCTTGTATAAAATGTAAGATCCTTCGACATATATGTTAGCTTCTTGTAGAAAAAATGTTATAAAACATGATCAGATTGTATAATTTTGCCAAAAACAATATCAATTTTGTAACGATATGATACTTGTTGGCATTTAGAGTTTCAAAAAGTACTTCAGTCTTTTACGTGATAACTACGGGACAATGAAGTATAACGACAAACGATAACAAAGACAAATATAAGATATTTAAAATCGCGGAAAAAAGGGATTCATTCCATCTTTCTTAAAATCCGAAATCATTCTAGGCACATTATCTCACATTGATACACAGGATAATTTTTCAAAATTACGCGCACTGAATTCAATGAAAGTTTTTGTATCCGTTATATCAGACGTTATCATGCTGTATCTTAATGCTTTGTATCAGATTATGTATAATATATGTAATCGTATCGCGAATGTGCAATAAGTCTCCTCGAGCGCTTTTTCAAGTCGATTATTGAAAATTGTCATGACATTGTAATTTATATAAATAGCTAATTAACCGTAGAAACAGAGAATCTTCGGTATATACATATATATTTGCGTTTAATACCGAGTTGGTTAGTAGTCGAGCTTGATTGTGAATAAAATCTCTCCATTAATCGGTGCCAATTTACCGGAATAGAAAAAGACGACACTGGCGCTGGGCGAAAGGTATTTTGTTGTTGTATGATTAAGTGAAAGCACAGCTAAAACCGTTTCTTTCTTCATGATCCTTCGTAGCGTATTATGTAATTTAATACGGATCTTATATATCTCTTCGATTAAAAGTTAGAAAATTTTTCTTTCGTGTGAGAACTGAAGCATTCGGCGCGATCGCGAGTATGTCAGTATCGTAGATCCGTAAATGTGTCATGTCGTTACGGCGGTTTTATACTAACGAATTTTATTTGGTAAATAGTCTTACTTTTATAAAGATAAATTATAAAAGCGTTAAAATAACCAATGTACATATAAACGTGCTAAGGTTTAAGCTTTGAACGTCATTGCGTATGAAGTTTCTTATTAACACACGTGATTGTGCTGGTCTGCAAATGAAAAAGAAAAAAAAAAGACACTGTGAGTCTCCTTGTCTACGATTGGTTCGACATCCCATTTTTATTTGTATTTAAATAAAATTGCTGACGATTTTTTTATGAATCAATTGCTTTCTTCATTGAAAATTTGCGTTATCACAACTCTGTTCGTATGAAAACAATATCTTGCTGATATTATCTCGTATAAATGCTGCGCAGGATTAGCGATATAATCGTTACAGGTTTACGAATGAAAAATAAATACGACTTTTCATGATTTTACCGAACCACATCTTTAGCATTTGAATTGACATTCCTGTTATGTACAAAACCCGTTGTTTTCATAAGGATAAATAAAGCAGGAATTGAAAGTATGCAAATCGCAAACGTAAAAACTTGAAGACTTTCCCCCTAGATGTATATTAAATTTTCTCTTGTAATTTTTTTTTGTTTTATTACATTTATTAAATTACTTATTTTTTATGCTGAAATTAAAATATTACCTTCATTACTAATGTAAAAATTCTGCATCGAATATCAATCGTTACCTAGAAAGAACAATTGTTTCCGATAGTAATATATTATTTATTTTTTTGCGCTATTTTTTTAAATTTTTAATCCTTGAATCTTATATCAAACAATATGTGTATACGATCAATTGCGGCGCAATCAGTATCAACAATTTGCCATCTTGTAAGAAAATCAGACAAATCTTTCTCTTTATTCGTGTATTGTATTTAGTAATATATATTATTCGGCTCCTTCATCATCGGAAATTTCAACGTTTATAAAACTGCGAACGGTTATAATGCAGATAATCGTACGATTCGAATGACGAGATTGAAAAAGGCTCTTTTTTTTATCGTCGTATATGGATTAATTTACTATTAAGGGATATTTGTAAAATCATCAACGTACATCATCATCATCATCATCATCGGTTGACAATCTCATCTCGACATGGCATAAATTTTTTTTTTTTTTTTATATTACTGCCTAAGATTACTGCAATGTGTGAGTGTGAACAACAGAATGTATTCTCATCGAGTACAGTGATAATGCAGCAAAAGGGTCCATTCCGAGAGTTCAAGCTCGACAAAATTGACGTAACGCATGTAAAATTACGTAGCAAAATTGCAATGGGTAATATGTATATCCCTATACGTGTATACGCGATGTGAAGTGTTACATCTTGTTTTGTCACTTTGTAATAATCTTCCCGTTTCATATAAATTATTAATTAATGATGCGCGATTATATATTTTCATGCACGTCACGTTGGTGGAAAAGAAAGATAATTTCGTATGTAACAATTCCGCTAAAAGACCAAGTTCCATTAAAAAAATGGTTAAACGTAAAAATAATCATATAACAAAGCAAGTTTTCAATTGATATTTTATATATCCGAATGTTTCTTAGCTACATGGATTAGAAGGGTCCGTGCCCTTTTTCTACAAACGCAAAGCTTTTATATGTACCTCATATAAAATTTCCATTTATCTCATCCACATTTATTTACGCTCTCTTTTATAATTCAATTGTATCACTTAAAAACGATTCCTGTGCAATATATTATGTGGTAACAGACAGGCCCTTTTGTCGTATGCTCACTGTAATGACATACAAGGAAACGAAAACTTAGCTATAGAGATCGTCATCTCCATCATCTTGAAAGGCTTGATCGCCTTGCGTATTATCTTGAGCACCGCCTGCTCCACTTTGTGGAAATCTGCAAATAATTTTTTTTTTTTAATAAAAGAGAATATTCCTCATTACGTATAAATCTCTCCATTTAAAATATGTGTTGAAAAATGTGTTTTTAACATTCAAAAGAATGGTACGCATAAAAATTTAGTTTCATTTCTTTTTTAATTATTTTGCGCGCGTATTGAAATTTAAAAAAAACTCGTACCTGAAATTAGTCCCGAATCCTCGAGATTGTTGCAGCGTTTGCGCAAACATTTCGTACTTGCGAATATCGTTGTCGGACACTGAACGGCGCGCAAACCTCATTGCTTCCTCGAAGTGAGCTCGCGTTATTTCTGGTACAGGATCATCCTCATCCATCTAGAGAAAATCGATAGGAACTTGGAAGTGATGTATACTGATAGCAATTTTTATTCGAATTTGTTAATTTCTGGCAACATTAAGATTGCCAACCTTAATATTGCCAGAAACTGCATAACATAAATATTGATACGATTATGAAAGTTTTTTTCTCTTGAAAAAATATTGGGAAATATTGTACAACTTGTCATAATATGTTATAAAAAAATAAAAAATGTATAAGGAAACCCTCTGTGCTTCGAAGATGAATCGATTGATGACTCAGCTTATTATGAATCATACAAATGACGTAGCAGAAATGAGTCTTCGAAATAATGCGAAAATGTTGTAAAGTGAATTGCATTTTATAACAGGATATCTTACATCCATAGATGCGGATGGATTATTCGCTCGTTCTTTTTCCCTTCGAATTTCAGTCTCGATGCACTGTCTAATGGCAAGTTTGCACGCTCGCTGGCAGATTTCTGTCAAGTCAGCACCGGAAAAGCCGTGTGTGACTTTGGCTATGTAGCTTAGATCTACGTCCTGATAAAAGAAAAAGAATATTTTTTTTTAATAATTTAAAAATCACAGGAAAATATGAATATACAATAAATATTTCGTATATGTTTCTCCCCGGTGTAAACTTTTTAGGCAAATTTACGAAATTATTACCTTAGCTACGGGCGATTTTCGAAGATTAGCGCGGAATATCGCTTCTCGAGACTTCTCATCCGGTAGTGGTATGTAAATTAATTGATCTAATCTACCAGGTCGTAAAATTGCCGGATCGATGATGTCGGGCCGATTCGTCGCTCCTATGATGAATACGTTCTTCTTCGCGCCCATGCCGTCCATTTCCGTTAATATCTGATTTATCACACGATCCGCCGCACCGCCCGCGTCGCCGACGGTGCCGCCTCGAGATTTCGCGATAGAATCGAGCTCGTCGAAGAACAACACACAAGGTGCTGCCGATCTTGCCTGAAAACAACTCGTTGTTAAACTGTGATCTTGAACTTGGCCGTTAAAAAATGGCGAGCGAGCGAAAGAGAGAGCTCACCTTGTCGAAAACATCTCTGACATTAGCTTCCGACTCTCCGAACCACATGGTTAACAATTCAGGACCCTTGACGGAGATGAAATTCGCTTGACACTCGTTGGCGATCGCTTTGGCCAACAGTGTCTTACCGCAACCGGGTGGGCCGTAAAATAATACGCCTCTTGACGGTTGCATACCGAATTTCAAGAATTTGTCAGGATGCTCCACTGGATACTGCGCAACGCCAAAATACGCGTTAATAAATGATTTAAAACTCACGTACGTGTATCAGGCTTTATGTCCATTCTTACCTGCACCAATTCTTGCAACTCCATTTTGACGTTTTGCAAACCTCCGATATCGTCCCAAGTGACCGTCGGCACCTCCACGATCGTCTCGCGCAGAGCACTCGGACTGCTCTTCGTCATTGCGTACTTTAACGAAAAGATATTTTTAGTTAGAGAAAACGATTAGCAATTCAATATAATCACATCCAAGATCAATAACTCACCTTAAAGTTCTCCATTGTTACTGCAAGTGAAGACAAGACCTCCGCGTCTATATGATCGTCCTCCAAGTCTATGAGATCCATTTTTTCACGAATCTGTTGAAGAGCCGCTTCGGAACATAAAGATGCCAAGTCGGCGCCAACGTGTCCGTGAGTTTCCGATGCAATCTAGAGCGATATTTTTTTTTAATATATTATTTTACAGTATAAAATGTGTGATTTTGATTCATTAGAAGTGACAGTGAAAATAAATGGCACCTCTTCTAAATCGACGTCGTCAGCGAGCTTCATATTCTTCGTGTGGATTCTCAAGATCTCCAATCGGCCAGTGGCATCCGGTATACCGATGTCGATCTCTCTATCGAAACGTCCGAATCGGCGCAGTGCACCGTCGATGCTGTTCGGTCGATTGGTAGCTGCCATTACGATCACATGGGAGCTCTGCTTCATGCCGTCCATCAGTGTCAACAGTTGCGACACAATACGCCTCTCGACTTCGCCGTGCGTCTATACGGAAAAAAAGAAAACACAATTATTTCAAAATGCGATTTATAAAAGATCGACTTCGCCTTGCGTCTATACAGAAAAAAATATATAATTTTTATTTCAAAATACGATTTATAAAAGATAGATTCAGTTTGACTTGACGAACCTTTTCACGTTTCGGCGCGATCGCATCAAGTTCGTCAATAAATATGATGGCCGGAGAATTCTTCTCGGCCTCCTCGAACGCCTTCCGCAAGTTGCTCTCGGACTCACCAGCCAGTTTGCTCATAATTTCGGGACCTGTACGGACAGTGGAGAGTCTTTTAAATCTCGTACCGTCTTATAATCGTAATTCAATATCACTCAGATTGCATACCGTTTATAAGAAAGAAGAATGCCCCGGTCTCGTTTGCCACAGCGCGTGCAATGAGAGTCTTCCCTGTTCCCGGTGGTCCGTATAACAATATACCACGTGGCGGCTTGACGCCGATGGCTTTGAACAGAGACGGATGTCGCAGCGGTAATTCCACCATTTCCTTAATTTGTGCCAATTGCTTGCGCACGCCGCCGATGTCGTCGTAACCCACGGCATTCAATGCCTCCTCCTCCTCCTGTAAATAAATAACGCGCTTCATTGTTTTGCGTTGATATCGAAAACTTTGCGAATATATCGAAAACACTGGTGTATTTTTCTGACCTCTCGCTTTATCGGATCACCTTCACAATGTATCACTGTGTCAGGCGCCACAATGCAAAATGGTCCCGGATCAGTTTCCACAACTTTAAATTCCACGGCTCGCATACCACCTCGTACAATGAAGTTGTCATCCTTATGAATAGGGCGGTACGCTTCCAGGAAGTACGGTTTTAAATAGACTTCAAATAGATTCCTGCAATAATGCAAAAAATATATAATTTATGTACTTGTGATTTGGCTGGATGAGTGGTTAAGTTTCTTGTTTTTTTGTAAACCAAATCCCCTTTCTAGCTTTATTTTGATAAAGGAAATAAATAAATTTATCTATAATTTATGTACTTCAAGCCATCGTAAAAAGAAAAAAAATATTGCATAATTAAAGGTAAAACGAGATTAATTTTGTAAAAAATAATATAAACTCATAATTTTAGGCATCTTAATCAGTCGCATTTTAAAGTTAATCATACACATTATATGTATATATCTAAATCTCATCGGAATGACGCTCTGCGCGAGAGTAATTATCTCATATCTGGCAGATCTCAGGTTCAATCCCCATGTATAAACTTTGAATTTTATAAAAGATTAATTGGAGAATTAATGGAGAATTATTTGTGTGAATAAATAATGTATAAAAATGAGCAATCTACTTTGGGCAATCTGCATTTCACACTTATTAAATCTTAAATATCTCATATGTTATATTAAATTTACCCAGTGAGACCATCGACAGTATCATCCATTGGCAGCACATGAATACGTTTTCCGTACTTGACCTCCGGACACGCTTGTACGGAAACTACGTCACTCAGACGTACGCGCAAGTTATTTCTGACAACGCGATTCATACGGATCTTCTCATCCGGGCACGTGTCATCGGACAGAACGATGCACACTGTTTCCTTGCGCCTTTTCCCCTTCAGAAGTACGGTGTCTCCGCGAAACAATTGCAACTCGTCCATTTTCGCTTGGGAGAGCGCAACCACAGAATTGTCGTCGGCGATCGCTTCATCGACCAACAATCTGTTTGGCCTGTCCTTCTTACGAAGGATAGCCGTCGCCAGATCTTCGCCACTGAAACAAGGAATATTAATTATATATCACATGTAATCAATATTATGTTACTGTGTTAAATATTGCCATATTTGACATTCCTTTGTTTAATACCTATGTTTGGTATCTTGAACACAAATAAATTTTTTATAACTAACAAAATCATACATATAAAATTAGTAAAGCAATATAAATAGAACAAACTATAATTTAAAAAAGTTAATTTCTAATTTAAAAAAATAAGTCAAAGAATAAAGGATATTCTTTTTTTTTTTTTAAGTAACATTCTTTTCTTGAAGAAAACAGCTTTTAGGGTAGTTTTTCTGCTACACAAAATCTTTAATATTATTTTTCCCATAAATTGACTATAAAATATTCATGATGAAACAAACATGCCTCCTGTATTCTGAAGTGAGAAAAACGAAAAAAAAATAATTAATGTGATATATCACACGTACATATATACATATATATTGCGCAATGTATTTCGTTTATTAATAAAATTGATGAAAATCTAAAATTCTCAAATAACCCTTCGACATAATTTCAAAGGACGACGACGGACAAGAGAGATTTGCAAAATTAACATATTTTTTTTTTTTAATCTCAGGCACGTAACGCGAATGCAAAATAGCAGCGAGAACATTCTCGTTCACGCTCGTCGATTCTCGCGCGTCCGCGCGAACGGGAGCCAGCTGACTCCGGGCACCGAGGGTCGTCGAGCGTCACCTGCCCTTTTGTGTCACGCGCACAGCCATGATCGCGGGGGCGACGTGTCCGAAAATTCGATGAGCGTCGATCCGCGTCCGCGGGAGCATCCCCGCGGAGCGAACTCGGGGGGGGGTTGAGGGGGAGGGGGAGGGGGGGGCGCCGCGAGGACGACGGGGCGCGCGATGTCTCGACCATCGTCGTCGTCGTCGTCGTCGTCCTCGTCGCGGAGCCACGCAAAAAACAAAGCGTCGGGGCTCTCTCTGTGTCGACATGATGACATCGTGAAATTGAAGTGCCGCCTCGGCTCGGCTGTCGCGCTCCGCGACACACACACGCACGTCGCCCCGCCGACGAGCGCGCGCGAGAAATCGGCGAGGGAGAAGCTCGACGTCGGCCGGGCCGGGTCGAACGCTCCGGGTTTCCTCACCTCTTCGGATCGCTCATCGTCCAAAAGCCTCTCGGTGTTTTCTCTCCGCGGAAAAAAAGGAACTCTCACGGCGCACGGTCTCTCTCTCTCTCCCTTCGGCACACGTAACGAGTCTAGCAACGGAGTCACGGACGCGAATGAGGAAACTGTGTGTCCGTGAGTTCTGTGATGGCTCGCTTCTACCGTTGCCGAATCATAGGATAGAGGCGCGTCCGCAAGCGCTAATCGCGCGCGCCGCCTGATGACGCGGCGGCGGCCAATCGGGTGATTGGCTTCTCCGAAAATGGTAGCGTCATCTCTCCCACCGTCGAACGATTTTTCAACTGGACAAAATTACGTGCGGCATCTCAATTCGTATATTTTTCACATCGGTTCTCTCGCCAATCTCGCCATCGTCCTTCGAATCGTCATTTCTTAGATTCTTCTGATCGACTTTAAATCGTCCCAGAGTCTGAAAAAAAAATGTATACTTTAATCGTCGCTGCCATTTTCGAGGATGTGTGTTTCGATTTAAAAGCATATATTTCAACCTTTTGTCCAATTCACCGACAAAATACTGTTAAAGGCCTGGACAAATTTTAAGTAAAATTAACTATTAGCAAGTTATAATACGGATGAATTACAATGTACATGTCTAGAAAACATTGATCTAACAATATAATAAATCATTAAATTAATATTATTGACTAATTGCTTAAATTTTAGCAATTACTAAACCACGCTAACTTTAAGGGTGTCTTTAATAATATCTCGTCGGTGTCCAATTATATTATCTAATTATATTTTTATAAGGACAGCTGGGTTAGATGTGTACTAATCTGTTTTTATATTGAAGACCATTTTAAATGTGAAGTAAAATCAAATTGAATCAATAAAATAATCATACAACTGCATGATAACATCTCGAAATCGACATTCGGGGGGCCTGTGAACTCCGATCTACGGCAGTGCCAGTCTCCTCCGACGGGGCTTTAGACAGTTTGCGTCACGCGTAGTTCGCGGTCTACGTCGGTAGCCGAGAGTTCGATAAATACACGCACTTGTCAAATCGATTTGCAATGGCCGGGATTAAAGGTTATTCGACGTATTCCTGATCACCTTTCGGGAGCCCGCCGGCCCCTCGCGGCGCGCGAACCCCCGCGAAATGTCATCGTCGCCGGGGGAGCTCGGGCGAGAACCGCGAGAATCGGCCTGTCAAAACATAACCTCGCCGTTGTTGTCATCGCCGCTTTGACACTCGCTTGGGGTCGTCTTCGCCGCTTAATCAATCGTCCCGTAATCGGATTTTAAGGGCAACGCGCGTCACGATTACTTTCGACTCCCCTCAATTCCCACCGTCCTGATTTCGCAAAAACGAGAGTCGCGTCCGCAGAGGAGTCTCGTTCCTCCGCGATGTCGCGTCGTTGATTGTTTGCGATCTGCTCGTAGAATCTATGTTTTTTTTTTTAACGAGCGCAATCGTTCACGCGAAAAATTGATACAAATTTATTGCCGCGAAACAGTTCTTGAGACTAGATATGCTCAAAAATTCGACAGTATTAGACTCGTAGAGATGTAATATTTATAATATTGCTTGTGTAATGTTAATGCATGGAGATTAATTTTGTGTATCTTTCTCATTTCATGACGCTCTCTCCTTTTCGTGACGTTCATCCTCGAAACAGCGTGAGTACTTTCGCAAGATTGCCTCTCAAGATTTTTTTAACATTCGTGCAAAGTAGACGGTCGTCAGGTAGCCTGTTAATTTAACTGAAATACAATTGTTACACAATGGATGGAAATGTCTGATTACAGATTAGTACTGCTAGCATTCGCTGGTTCCATTGGAATGACGTTTGTCATTCTTGGCTGCGCGTTACCGATATATAAGTGAGTATTATCTCTCTTTGTATAATGGATCTGTTTTTGTTTAATTTTAGAATTATAAAATTATAAGCGTTGTAACACGTGCAACACAATTTCCAGAGTATGGTGGCCATTTTTCGTTGTACTATTCTACATATTGGCACCTATTCCAACTATAATAGCACGCCGCTACACAGACGATTCGGGAAGCAACAGTAATCCATGTTTAGAGCTGGCAATATTTATTACAATGGGATTCGTAGTGTCGTCCTTTGCTCTTCCAATCGTGTTGGCGCGATCTCCGGCAGATCAGCCAGTAGTGAGTGGCATTTTGTATTTAAAAATGATATTTTTAAAGTTAAAAACGATATTTCCGTACAATAAAACAATTGTAAATAAGTTTTTTTTTTGTTGTAACTGATACAATATATTAGCTTTAAATATCTATTGATCAGATAGAACACACGCGGATTATTTGTATTTTACAGATACAATGGGGCGCTTGCTATCTGACATTAGCAGGTAATATTGTTGTATATTCAACTCTAGTCGGATTTTTCATAACCTTTGATCAAGATGATACCGATTACAACATGTGGTGAGGTACTACTGCATCGTACTTACTCATCATGATAAAAATGTAAGTAGCGTGGTCAGAGCTGGTTTAGAAAATTAAGAAATGGTCTTGAAAGTAATAAAAGTCAACCTTCATCTAACGTTATTGATGAGATAAAATTATCATTATATTTTGAAATATAAGTTACTTTCGAGCTCTTCAGCTCGCAGCTTTTTACAACTATTTAGAAGCATTTATAGCTTATTTTTTCGAAATACAGAAAATATAGAACTTACGCAAGAGACTTGAGGCATTGATTAGAAATACGCCGCTTCTATTATGACGTATGCAATATATAATGCACGAAATCGTTTCAGGTTTTTTATGAGATTTAAAGGGGAAAAAAATATCAATCATGCAGTGCACTGACTGAAAGCTACATGTTGATTCTAAATTATACTATGAAACTTACCGTACACAGTTTATATAATATAAACCTTAATATGGATACTCTACTATATCGATGCTGCAAAAAGATAATAGTATTATAGTGCACTAATGATAGAACGTGTATCGACGAAAGTGACTATGCTGGTACGGGCTGGTACATATGGATTCCACGCGTGGCGTTACGGAGCGGCGGAAAAGCAAAAATGCATTTGATGTCTTTAGATATTTCGTATGGGACTATTCAGGATAAAAACCTGAAGCGCAACAATGCAAGGATAATGTTGAAAATATTTTTTATTTAATCTAAGTCTTTCGTAATAATAATGGTAATAAAGCTAAATTTATTACTTCATCTCAATCTTTTCAATCATCCTCAGCAAAGCTGGCCAACAATGTTCCCCCGAGGTCGAGTTAAAATAAAATAACTTGAAAATCACACTTATATGCATTCCTTATGTATAACTGTGATTATTATAATATTATTTTATTATATAATTATTTTGAATAAGAACGGAAATAGTTTGCAGTCATTTATAATTTTTTTTTTTTCATCTTATAAACTGATTTTCTGTTTCTGAGAGAAATTTGAAACAAATCGAGCTTTTTTTATTTCGTTGAGTGAAAAATTTTAATCTCATGCATTTTTTTTAAGTAAATGATAATTTAAACGAGCGCCATTTGTGATGATTTCCGGCCACTGTCGTAACAGTGGCCGGAAATCGTCATCGCCTTGCAATGGTGCCCGTTCAACAAGCGCAATCCGAGAAACCGACGTCCACGATTTCTTAGCGCATTACATTCGAGCGACTGATTCAGGTGATCGGTTGATCGTTTCTTTGTCCACAATATTTCGGATTGCTCTCGAAGGAGGATTCAAATGAAACTTCTCGCATCGTAAATCATTTTCTCCGGAAGTGGCTCTCTGCGCATTGCGAATTGGAGCTGTTCGGGGCGTGTCCGAAAATCGCGATTCCCATCCGTGTCGGAAAATTCGATGACGCACGTCGTATTGTCGTAATCAAGGCGCGAAAACATTCGAATTACATCCCGCTCTCGCCCGGCTCTACGTCAACAATGGGATCGACCGAACCGCTCGTCTCGAACGTTGTTTGAGATGAAAAATTCAAAGTAGTCATTGAGAGAAGTACGATTTGATTTGTTCGTGTTATTTGGAACATGTGATTCTTAACGCAGAGCCGTACTTCGAGGGTTAATGTGCGAAATTCGTCACTTTAGTAGGAATTAGGTTAGAAGTGGCTCAGACCTTTTCCGTGGGACGCAGTAGATCATTTTTAACGCTATTTTCGAAAGAATTAACAAAAGTAAAATTGTTTAAGTTCAACGTAATTGCGATTGTGAATTATTTCGAAGAGTCGCAGGTCTAATGTGCATAAAACTGAAATTGTAACCTCGTCGATCGTAGGGACATGAAATGACGAGAAACACGATCGAAATAATTTGTTGTAATTATATATGTATTATATTTATAGACTGCAGATGTCCAGGATGAACATCAGAAGGGAATTAAACACGATTATCGTGTAAATTTCCTTTCCACTTCAGATCAGACGTACGTGCCTTATCTAATCGCCCATCTGCACCAAATCATTTCCCAGAGATTGCAAATGTAATGATATACAGCTAATATTTATTTTTTTTACTCGCGTGGAGGAAACGATTGCCATTGGCCGATGACTGTGTTTTGGTTGCTTTTGGTTGTTGAGGAATATTTTGGCAAAAGGTGAATTTGCATGTTTCAAAAGTGATATTCTCTCTCTACTTGTTTACCAAGCATTTATAAAATTATTTTCCTTTCAGAACACAATTTAGATGTCAACCGACCTTACCAGAATGTCGTCTGAAAAAATTCAAGAAGCGAATCTCCGCGAATCTTCTGATCAATCTGTTCAAATGCAACAGCTACTGCCAATGGAATTGCAGGCTAGTAAGTGTAGCCCTTGAGCATCAGAGTATCAAGAATTTTTTTGCAAAACCACTTCTATTGCGTATTCAAAATGGGAATTGATATTTTCAGTAGAGCAAGGGTACAGCGTGTCAGATGATCTAAACTCCATTATTCCATATGCCACTTTGAGAATGCGCAACGTCGCTCGTTTGTCTAACGAGGAGTGTGCTAATGCTATTGCCAATCACCTGCAATCAAGCGACAAGTTTATGCAGGACGATCCCGAGTCGGAGCAGTTCAGGATGGAAACGGTGAGGACGATACCGCAGTGCCTCAACGTGAAGCGATCCGTCAAGTCGCAGCTGATGGCAACTGTTAACCGCAAGACGATAGAGAAATCGATTAGTTGCTGGAAACTGTTTAGATATAATGTTAGCTTGAAGTCAGCAAAGGTAATGATGAATCTTGAGTCTTGAAGCAAAATCATTGTCCTTTTATGCATAAAAAATCTAACAACTTGGAGTTTTCTTTTCATGTAGATTTGGATGACAATACGGAACTTATTGACGATAAAATTATGGCATCGGACGATAAAAACCATTGAGAGTCACCATGGGAGCGGTATAGCGACGTACTTCAAATTCTTGAGATGGTTACTCTTCCTCAATACAATTTGCTGTGTATTGAGGTACATTTTTATCTTGCTTCGCCATCGAGAACTTTTATTTATAAGATATACTATTGGCAAAAATTTTAAACTATTTTAAAGTTATTTAAAATTAAAACAAGAATTTTTGAAGAATATTCGATTCTGACTTATTTGGTTGGCAAAGAACTGTCTTTTAAAGTACTGACTTTTATTAAATGAAACAACCAAAATTTTTTAATGGATATTTTATGTTTTCAGTGTATCCTTTATTGTGATCCCGCAGTCACTGGCTCAAACACATGTGCCAAACAATATTGAGGTATTGGATTTTTTAACAGGCAATGTAAGTGCAGTCGTTATTTTACTATACAAGCGGCATGTTTAAAAACGGCGCGCACATCACGATATCTTGGTTTGTAGGGCTTTTTATCCCACACAATAATGTATTATGGTTTTTATTCCAATGGCACGGTAGACGCACCATTTGGACCCAAATATAGCATTCCATTTGCCTATTTTCTAACGCTGCTTTTTTGCTATATAGTTACATTTGTTGCACTCTCTCGCAAGTATGTGTGATAGAATTATAATGTGATTAAATTATTCAATTTGTAACTTAATTGAATGTAACGGTAAATTTTTTTTTATTTCTTTAGAGTAATATCCTCTTATAGAAAGTCTTACGTCGAAACGCGTGGAAAAGTGCACAATATGTATAGCAGCAAAATATTCTGTGGATGGGACTTCAGTATATCTTCCCCAAAAACGGCTGCTCTGCAATCGGCATCGATTTATAAAGAGCTGGAAGAGCTATTGGCAGAAATGATACAGGATATAAGTTTGCATTGGTGTGCCAAGTGTTTGTTAATTATAACGCAACTTGCCGTAACATCTATTGTTATATTTATAATTTGCGGTGCTGGCGCACTCATTTGGATGCTATTAAGTCATTACGGTCTAAAAGCGTCCGTAACTGTCTCAGTCGTAATTGTGCCAGTCGTCATTACCGCTATCATTCATGTTTTTCCAACGATTATCTCCTATCTAGTAAGTAGCCTGCATTTCCTGTTGTGTAAAAATAATTTATATATATATATATATATACACAGGGTGTTCATAAAATATCGGACCCCCCCCCCTCTATTTCAGAAAATACTAACTGGATAAAAAAA